TCTGCCTATATTCAGAAATATCAAGAAAGAGTCTATTCAAATGAGTGCAGTAAGAAGGAAATAAATGGGAATTACTGGTTATCACTGAAAATGAATACTATGAAGATCAGACTCTTCCCAAATAATAATACTATTTCTATACTACTGTGATTTTTTAACAATAACAGACATCCTTTTTATTGGCACTGAAATCTTGAGCCATCCTAACACTCCCTCACATTCTTCAGAGTCTTCATGTCAATGAAAAATAGAACTCAGACATTATGGACTAATTTAATATTTTACAATTATTTATTATTAAATATGATTAATGTACTAGGTTACCTTCACAGAAGGCTTATATTAAACTCTACAGTCACTTTTTCTCATTTGAATTTGAAATGTCAATTGTTTTATAAGAAGAGTGAAGAATAACTAAAATCAGGCCCATGAAAAACACCTATCAGGATTCAAGGGCTATTAATTTATATATTCAGCTTTCCAAATAAACCTATAAGTAAAATGTGAAAAAACAAATCTCTTTTACCTCTCTCTATTTACTGAGGAGGAATCATTTACCTCTCATCTCTTTAGAAAAAGAAGAACAAATCAAAACTCATGCCACTTGTAAGGGATAATTATTTGGGGAACATTTTAGTTACATGCTTGATAAAAAATTACAAAGAAACACTATTTTTTTCTATTAAAATAAATAGGTATAACAGAACATACCTGAAAAAGAACATGTACATGGCAGCTGTGATGCAGAACAAAAGGACCTATAACAAGGAGAAAATACATTATTTGCAAAAAAAACTCTGAGATCATCATTGATATGTCTTATAAAAACAAAATATCTACTATTAAATCTTGTACCTGAAACAATTTAAAGATGTGCAAAAGTAGTCATACATCTGTCACATTCTCTACCTTTCAAATAAACCAAATTAAGACAATAATGACTATACACACAGATATACAGAGAGAAATAAAATTATATACATTATAAAATATGTACACAAATTACAATATGTATATGTGTATAAAGACTGGGTAGAAGGATAACAGAATTCAAAAAAAGAACCGGTTTTTAAAAACCGGTTTTTATCTCTAAGAATGCCATAAAAAAGAATGAAATCTTGCCATTTGCGACAAGAATGGACCTATTACGCTATGCGAAATAAGTCAGAGAAAGACAAATAGCATATGATTTCATTTACATGTAGAATCTAAAAAAAAAAAAAAATGAACAAACAAAACAGAAACAAACTCATAGATACAGAGAACTGAGGGTTGCTAAATGGAAGGGGATCTGGGGGTTTGGGTAAAAAAGGTGAAGGGACTAAGAAGTACAAATTGGCAGTTATAGTCACAGGGATGTAAAGTACAGCATAGGGAATATAGTAATAATATTGTAATAACTATGTATGGTGTCAGGTGGGTAAGACTTATGGGGTGATCGCTTTGTAAGTTATATAAATGTCTAATCAGTATATTGTACACTTGAAACTAATATAATATTGTATGTCAAGTGTAATTGAAAATTTTTTTTAAAAGAATGCCTGAAGAACGTTAACAACAAAGACAATGGCTTTTATAAAATGAAATCAGCAAATAAATCATAATGCTTATTACTATTAAGATGACCAGATTTTATTGTTAACCAATTACAATCAATAAGAAAAGCTCCTAAAAATATAATCATCCTTTGTGGGATATAAACTATTAAAAAATTCATCTATCTGTCACTACATATTTGACCCCCTTAACTATGGGAGGTGAACACACAATGTAAATATATATATGCCTTATTGTTAAAGTGTACAGCTGAAACTTATTGGATTTTGTTAACCAATGTCACCATTAAAATAAACAAAAACAATCAAATAAATAATAAAAAGGAGGAATGGATGTCAAGTTTTCAATAAAAACAAATGTTCACTTAAAAAATTCCTCTAAAAGTAGGCATCAGAACACACAGTAAATCTAGTTTAAAGAAGCTCCCCTCAAATACACCATACTAAATACAACATACTAAGATGTACATGGAAAGAATCCAGTACCCACGTCATGACTAAAAGCTTAGTTCACCAATAAAGTTTTTCTCTTTACTCTCCATGTTTCTTTCACTTGGATTGTTTCTACCACTATATATTCAAGTTTACTTGGACCGATCTAGTTCATTCATTTCAATTTGATCTTTATTAATACCTTTTTTCTGTTCACTTTGGATTTAATTTGGTTTTGTTTTCCTAGTTTCTTTGAGGTAGAAATGTACGTCGCTGATTTAAGATTTTTTTTCTTTTTTGATTTTGAGATGTATAATGCTATAAATTTCCCAAGATCTGCTGTACATGTATCCTACTAATTTTGGTAAGTTGGGTATGCACTTTTGTTCCATTCAAAATACTTTCTAATTTTGCTTTTGCTTACTTCTATGATCCATGATTTAGAAGTGTGTTATTTAGTTTCCAAATATCTGAGGATTTTCAGAAATTGTTCTGTTGTTACTAACTTCTTATTTTATTCTATTATGGTCAAAAAAATACTTTCTTTATATGACTTGATTATTTCTAAATTTATCAAAACTTAGTTTACGTCTCAGAATATGTTCTATGTTTGATGAATATTTCATACGCATTTTAAAAGAACGGGCATTCTACTGTTGCTGGGCAGAAGGATCTATAAGTGTTAGTTATGTCAAGTGGTTGACATTGTTGGTTCAAATCTTCTATAATCTTATTGATTTTTCTGTTCACTTGCTCAGTCAGCTATTGAGACAAGGTGTCAAAATATCCTGCCGTAATTGTGGAATTCTCACCACAATCTCTCCTTGCAGTTTTATCCATTTTTCCTTGGTGAATTTTGAAGCTCTCTTATTAGGGATATAAACACTTTGAATTCTGTCTACTTTATCATGATAAATTACCTTCTTTACCTCTGATAATACTCTTTGCTCTGAAATATGTATGATCTGATCACATAACTCTAGCTTTCGTCTGATTATTGTTAGTTTTTTCATTCTTTTACTTTTAACTGATTGGGTCTTTATATTTGAAGTTCATTGCTTACAGGCATATCATTGTTTCTTGCTTTCTATCCTATCTGAAACAATCTCCACTCCTTCAGGGGCATGTTTAAATTGTTTACACTGAATGTGATATTGGTAATTCAGAATTCAACCTATCATCTTGCTATTTATTTTTCTATTTTCTTTTATTTGTTTCCATTTTCCTTCTTTCTGCCTTTTATGGACTAAGTATTTTTTTTTTTTTGACTCTCATTTCTTTCCTTTGTTGGATTATATTAGTGTTTATTTTAGGGTTTATAGTATATATCTTTACATTGATACAGCCTCCATTCAAGTGATATTATACCACTTAATATAGAAACTTGCAACAGTATATTTCCATTTTTCCCTTCATGATCTTTGTGCAATTGTTGCCACCCGTTGTACCTTTATCTATATTATAAAACCACTATATTTTAATCATTTTTCAATGCCTAACATCAAGAACCTTGAAACCATTGTTTCATATGTTTCCTCACATTTTAGTTGTTTCTATTTGGAAGGGTAAAGATTATCCTGATTTTCCTTGTAACTATTATTAGGTCATGGCCAGAAGCCAAGTGTGATTATTTAAATTTAAAAATCTATGTCTAAAAAGATTTCACTTTTGTTTTGAAAGTTGCTTTCGCTGGATATAGATTTCTAGGTTGACAGATCATTTTATTTCAGTAGTTTGCTCCATGAACATCACTACAATATCTTCTTACAATTTGATTATAATGTGCTTTGGAGTAGTCTTCTTCATGTTTCTTATACTAGGGGTTCATTAAGTTTCTTGGATCTGTGGATTTACAGTCTTCATCAAATTTGAAAGTTTTTCAATTATTATTACATCAAATTTTTTCTTCCCCCTGTTCTTCTTTAGGAACTCCATTTAATGCATAGCAGGTCACCTTAAGTTGTCCCACAACTCACAAATGTTCTCTTTATTTTGTAAAAAAAATCCCTTTACTCTGTGTTTCATTTTGGATCATTTCCACTGTGATGTCTTCAAGTTTACTAATATTGTGTTCTGTAATACAGAATGTCATTAATGCCATCCAGTAAATTTTCTATCTTACATATTGTAATTACCATTTCCAGGAATTTGGTTTGGATTTTTTCCCTGTTTTACATGTTTCTAACTTTCTGAAACTACAGAATTCAGTTATAATAACTCTTTTTAATGTTCTTGCCTACTAATAGCTTTGCGAATTTTGGTTTGGTATTGACTGATTTATCTCCACATTATGGATCAAATTTTCTTGTTTCTTATTGCATGCCTTTTAATTTTGATTGGATAGTAGACAATGTGAATTTTACCTTGGTGGGTGCTAGATACTCTTGTATTCCCATAAATTTTCTTGAGTTTTATTCTGGGACACAGTTATTGGAAACAGTTTAATTCTTTAAGGACTTGGTTTTAAGATATTTTAGGAGGGAGAAGAGTAGTGCTCAATTTAGGGCTAATTATCCCTCATTACCGAGAACTTTATTCAGTGCAAAATGGATCTTGAGATGTTCCAGTGTGGCT